AGCCCGAGGACAGGTTTCATCGATGTTGGGGTTTCTGTTCTGGCAGGACCCCGCGCCCCATCTACGACAGCAGTGGCGAGCTGCTCGTGAAGGCCCAAGCACAGCGTCAAGCGGATCCGCGCTTCTGGCTGAGGGGGCTCATCCCTGCCGGGTGGGTTCGGATTCCGCAGCCGCGGAGCGAGGAGGCATGGCAAGTATACGGTACCAGTTCTTTCGAGTCTGGCGTCCTGGGAGGAGGAGGCGTAGACATCCGACCTTCATCTTCGGGGGTGCCAGCGGCGGCGAGGACACTCGGGATCCTCGACTGCGACGTGCTGGAGTGGCGCTCGCGGTCATTGAACGCCCGGGCGAGGATACGGTCGTCGGCAAGGCCATCTGGGGGGGGGGGGGCGTGCCAGGTGAGAAGCAGATTGTAACGCGAGGCGAGTTGTAGTCTTTGCTCGTTGCGTGTCGTGGTGCATCAGGACATTTCAATAACATCTCAGACAATGCCAATGTCCGCAAAGCATGGCACTCAGGCGAGCCTTTTCTCTCCTGACGGCGAGGGCGGCGATTTGTGACGTGCCATCGGAGCCGAGCTTCGTCACAGGCCCGGCGTTCAATGCTGTGTGTTTTTTCGTGCATTCTTACCTTGAAGCCAAGGGTATTGTTGCTGGCCGCGCTCCACCCCCTGTACGCAGTAGGACGTACACTAGTTGATGATTTAGCAGGTATCGGAGCCGACCTGTGTAGAGCTTCCGAGTCTGATCGGGCCCGCGTGCCCCAAGTCGAGCATATGGTGCACTTGGTTCGGAGGAGGATCCTGATCAGGGTTCGGATGAGGATCCTGATCAGTACCCTGCATGCCCTAGAGGCTGAGCAGAGTTTGTCTTGTGAGGAACCCCAGGGGGGCCGTGTTCGGCACCCTGGACCCAGGCCTCCTGCTCCTTAAATTTGCTCTGCTTGTTCTTATCAGCATAAGTTCCCTGACCAAGGGAATGTCTGTTTGCAGTGTAAATGCTCCTCGTCACTGGCTGCTCGTCGAACCTCGCTGGGTTCGCCCTATTTGTTTCCTTTACGGTCGGTTGACGGTATGATTTATGACCTCTTTCATGGGCGTCGGGTGCACATATGTGGGGGATGGGCTCATAGCAGTCGCCAACTTAGGCACCATTATGTCTTGGGACTCTGGTTATGTGGTAGGTGTGGTAGCTATGCTGCCCAGCAATGCGCCAATTTGGGGAGCGAGTGCACAGGGGCTGCCACAGGCAACAGACCACAATACCTTAGGAAGATCTCTGAAGGCAAATGGCCCAAGGCTTACAGTTCATCCGAGAAGGCCAGGCGTGCCAATGCACAGGCGAGATCCCGAGGGTGTGAGTTCTTCTCACGCCCCCCGGTTTGTTCAGTCAGTCCTCTACCGACACAGTCGCAATATCCGTAACTCCTTCCCTCCCCCTCCTCCTCCTCCTCCTCCTTCTCCTTCTCCTCCTCCTCCTCCTTTTTCTCTTCCTCCTCCTCCTCCTCCTCCTCCTCCTCCTCCTCCTCCTCCCTCCTCCACCTCACCCTCCTTCCCCTCCCTATTTTCCTCCTCCTCCTCATTCCTCCTCATCTCCTCCTCCTTCTCATCCTCCTCCTCCTCCTCCTCCTCCTCTCCTCCTCCTCCTCCTCCTCCCTCCTCCTCCCCCTCTCCAACCTCCTCCTCTCCTCCTCCTCCTCCTCCTCCTCCTCCTCCTCCTCCTCCTCCTCTCCGCTCCTTCTCCTCCTCCTCCTCCCTGCTCATCCCCCTCCCCCTCCTCCTCACCCTCCTCATCACCCTCGGTCGCCTCTTCCCCCGCCTCCGAGATCCATCCCATGACGAGGAACTTCAAGTCAAACTCGAGGGGGTCCGACCAGCGGGCCGCTCCGACGTCAAGCAGGGGCCCCATGAGCGAAGCCTCGAACGGCTTGTACCTAACTTGTTGCTGGACCCATGCCGTCTCTAACAAGTCTGTCGGGCGGAGCAACACGGGGCTGCGAGGGAAGATCGGGCAGTCTGAAACAACCTGCTCGTCACGCACGCACATGCTGAGGCACCCGGAGAGCACTACGAAGTCCAACGTGTTCATTTCCTCCGAGTCCTGATGGATGTCCTCCTCTTCCGTCCTAGCCTCGTTCACGTAGCACGTCGCGCAGGTGGCTGAGGGCGGCTCAGCAACTGTGCCACGGACGTGCCCTAGCCATCCTGACATGGAGAGCGCAACTGGTGCGAATTCTCAGTCGCCCTGGACGACCCAGGGCTACTTGGAACAAAGTTAGACCGCCCCTAGCAGCTCGAGGAACTTTAAACTCCCGCCTGCGACGCCAATGTCGTTCACAAGATCAACGCTGTAAGCCTCGAGGCCTTCCTCGCAACGTTCAGGACCCGACCCGCAATCCTCCCTTCGAACCGCCCAAGGTCAGGAACCATGAGCCTGTAATAATCAAACCCCCCTGGCGTCGCTGCCGAGACTCCTCCAGAACTCAAACGCAGACCATGTCCCGTGGAATCAGCCTTCCCAAACGAGGTGAGGAGACCATTTCGAATGCCCCAGTGCTGAGCACTGATCAACTTATCCTGGGTCTTGCGCCGAGTCTCCTGGACGGTCTGGACCTGGAGCATGACCAGCCAGCTGCTGAGCTCCCATGGGGCTCCATGGCCAGCTTGGGTCTGATCCCTTAAGCAGGTCACCACCGTATCTAGCGGGCTCCTGCTATTGACACTGGCGCCCCGGATGCTCCAGTCAAACTTGCTAGCCACTTCAACGCGAGAAGCAGCTGGCGGCCGTAGAATCTGATCGGCTAGACGATTACGCTCAGGGGGGTCGCCGCCAAGCGTCCTTTCCCTCCTGTCGGATCCTGACCGCGACAGTGTCGAGCCCACGTCGGGCGCCGGCGGGGAAGAGGGAACGCAGTCCACGAGTGCTGGGCTCACACTCGGAAGCTGGAACATATACATTACCAGTGGCGGGCTGATTTTCAGTCCCAGAACTTTTTGAGGGTCGGGGACGACGTCGGGGTGGTGTGGTGGATACTATTTTTCCCGTTTTCCCGTGGAAGCAACGAGCAATGTACACACCAGGATCCCGTATACACCAGGATCCGCTTCCTTGTGCGAATATCAGTGCGGGGCCGTAGAGAGCGTCGGTGTACAGAGTCCGGTCCCTTACACATACCCCAGGCCCACGGTGAACTCGGGTGGAGATCCCGATGCCGGACCAGTCGTGGCTGCCGGTGGCGAAGTAGAGCCGGCCACCGAAGTCGACAAGGCCGAACTCGCTGTCCCAGCTCCCGAACTCGACGGCACCATCGAACCCCAGGGCTCCGACGATTCACCTCTCGCTATCGAGGAAAAGGGGGTCGTCGACCCACTCCACGTCACCGGAGAAGACGAGTGACCAGGCCCAGCCTCCTCCAGCGATTCGACACACCGAGAACTCGCACCTGCCTCTCGATCCAGCTCATGGCCAACCCGAGGGGTCTCGGTGGGTTCACCCTGACGTACCGTCTCCACCTTCTCACGAGGGCTTGGCACAGGCCTGGACAAGGAGGAGGAGCAGGCGGCGGAGGAGGAGGCGGAGGAGGAGGAGGAGGAGGAGGAGGAGGAGGAGGAGGAGGAGGAGGAGAGGAGAGGAGGAGGAGGAGGAGGAGGCGGAGGAGGAGGAGGAGGAGGAGGACGAGGAGGAGGAGGAGGAGGAGGGAGGAGGAGGAGGAGAGGAGGAGGAGGGGAGGAGGAGGAGGAGGAGGAGGAGGAGGAGGAGGAGGAGGGAGGAGGAGGAGGAGGATGGGCAGAGGGTGCAGGAAGGGGAGGGACAGGAGGGAGAGAGCAGGATATGGGGCAGCTGCGTAAATGCGAGCTTCCCCCGCCGCGGGTAGTGAATTAGAGTAAGATCTCACCCTCAGTGTTTTGCAAAAGGAGGTGGCGAAGTGGTGGCACAGGACTTACTTCCAGTACCTTCCCCAGCATCAGCTCCTCCCCGATCCTGGACCAGAGGGGTGAGGCGGGGCCACGATGACCGATGGAAACAGGAGTGGGCCGGCGCATTGAGGGGAAATGCAAGGAAGATTACGAGGATGAGGAGGAGAGGGACGAGGACGAAAGGAGGACGAGGACGAGGAGGAGGAGGATCAGGAGGAGGACGGAGGACCAATGGAAACAGGAAATGACGAGGATGATGAGGAGGGGGGTCAGTGGGATGGGTAGGTGGACGGGGTGGAGGGTTGGTCGGCCACGCACAGAAGGGGGTAGGAGCAGGAGGGAAGGCTTCTTAGAAGCACCCCTGCTTCTTAGAAGACGCGCCTCCTCCGTAGATGTAGGGCCGTCGCCTTCTGAGAAGCAGCCTCCTTCGAAAAAGCCTCCCCCCTCCCCCTGCCCCCTTGTGCGCGCCACCAAGTTGGGAGGGGGAGGGGGTTTGATGATGACGACGAGGAGGAGGACGAGATGAAAGAGGGGGATGAGGATCAGAAGGGGAATGATGCTGATGTTGCTGATGCTGCTGATGATGAGGATGACGGCGCGCTCGTCGCCTTTGATGGGTAGCGACGATGAGCGATGTGGTAATGGTGAGCATGGCCGGAACGAGGGGAAACGAGGAGGATGTTATCGACAAAGAAACGAGGGCATACACAGTAACTGTCCGATCTCCTCGCGGCTTTCTCGGATCGGTGCTGGGGCCCCCCTGGCAGCGCCTCTGGCGCCGCCCCTGGCGCGCGCCGCACGCCATTGAGCGGGGGTCCAGCGCAGATCCAAGAAATCCGCTCGGACCTCCGAGACATTGGATTTATGCCGTTTTCTGCCCTCCTAGAGGACGAGGATGCGCTAGCGGAGGAGGCGACGACGACGCCTGCGACGACGAGGACGAGGACGAGGACGACGACGACGACGGCGATGCCGACGACGACGACGACGACGACGACGACGACGACGATGCCGACGACGACGACGCCGACGACGTCTACGGCGGTGAGGGCGGCGCCGACAGCGGCGAGGGCGGCCGCAGGAGGCGAAGGCGCGCCTGGCGGCGGCGGACCCGACGGGCGGCTTCCGCGCGGGCGATCTGGGGCTCCGGCTGCCGGACGGTGCCGGCGGCCGCGCGCTCGGGAGGGGCCGGGGCTCAAAGGGCGGGGGCCCTCTGCGACGAGGCCGCCCTCGCCGCGGCGGCCGCCGCCCGCGGCGCCAGCGCAGCCGCCGTCCTCGTCCTCATCCTCGTCCCGTCTTTGTCCTCCTCCTCCTTCTCCTCCTCCTCCTCCTCCTTCTCCTTCTCCTCCTCCACCGCCGCCGCTGCCGCCGCCGCCGCTGCGCCGCTGGCGGCCGCCTCGTAGCTGGCGGTGCTCGGTACGATCGAGGCGGGCGGGGCTCTCAAGGGACGGGGTGTCGGTGCCAACGGGGGCTTAGCCAGGGCGCTGGATCTTGCAGGCTCCTGCAGAGCCAGGGTCCAAGGCGGGAGTTGTTATACATAACCGCCGCTTGGGAGATCGATCTTCCGGGACCTCGGCAGTTGGTGGATGTGGACATACGGTACCCCTGGGGGCAGTATATATTCATATCCACCGCCCGCTGGGGTCTCAGGACGTCGGTTCCCCAGGCGGTGGATATGGATATATCCCCGCCTCGCAAAGGGCTGCAGTGACCCGGGTCAGCGCGCAGGATCCTACATGAGCCTGCAGGATCTTTCAGGATCCTGCAAGGCCTGACCGACCCTGATTTGCATTGACCCGGGTCAGTAGATCCCTGAAGGGGGGGTTGGCCAGCGGGCATCACTGCCGTCGTCGTCATCGTCGTCGTCTTTGTCGTCGTCGTCGGAGTCGTCGTCGGAGTCGGCGTCGCCGTCGCCGTCGCCGTCGCCGGCGCCGGCGCCGGCGTCGTCGGCGTCGTCGCCGCCGCCGCCGCCTCGGCTATACGTGGGAGCGGCCCTAGGCAAGAGTGGCATGCGGTGCGGGCACACTGGGGCCCCCAGATGGCTGAGTGATGCGGTGGCAGCGGCTCGCGCGCTCGGGCTCGGCCTCCCCGCGGTACCAAAGGTCACTGTTGCCTAGGGTCACCCTTGCGTGTCTCCGATGGTCGGCCGCGGGCAACACGCACTCTCTGGCGACAATACTTCTCTGCTCGGCCAAGCCTCTGCAACCTTGGCTGTGTCTTTGCTTGCTCAGCGAGCTCGAGGAAAACCACGATCATTTACAGATGCTTCGCCTTCTCTCGACGCTGTGGCACCGATGTCGAGAAGACAATAGTAATAGAATGCGTCCTCCAACCAGCCCCAGCCAACACACCACTATCGAGTCGCAGTGCATCGCCGTCGTCGTCGTCGCCGTCATCGTCTTCGTCCTCCTCCTCGTCCTCGCCCTCGTCATCGTCGTCGTCGCCGCCGCCGTCGTCGCCGCCGCCGTCGTCGTCGTCGACGTCGTCGTCGTTGTTGTCCTCGTCCTCGTCCTCGTCCTCCGCATCCGCCGCATCTTTCTCCCCTGGCTCTTGCTGCTATTGCACCTCCTCCTCCTCCTCCTGTTGTTGTTGTTGCTGCTGTTGCTGTTGTTGTTGTTGTTGTTGTTGTTGTTGTTGTTGTTGTTGTTGTTGTTGGGACCCCTGGTGCACGGCCCCCCCGCCGCGCCTAGGCCGCAGCTACATTTTCATCATTTTTTCGCGAAAGCTTCAGAAAAGTGGATGGGGTCCAGATCCGGTTGTTTTGTTGTAATCCGTTTTCCCTTGCAAAAAACACTATAAAATGACATTTCTTGTTCTAATATAATCAAATTTCAAGAATCCCTTGCAAAAAATAAGGTAAAGTGGACATTCGCGCGCGCAAGACGAAATCCTTCCAAAAGCTTAGTGTTCGGAGCGATTTTAACATAAAAACATCAAAAAACCAATGGTTTTTCAACAAAAAAATGTCAAAATCTCATCCCGCGCGCTCTTGCGGATTCGTAGGAAACCCAACACTTTTTAAACATTTCTGTCAAACGGGCTTTTGCGAGCAACTTTTTCGAACTTCTGCGACAACGGTTGCGCACCTGCCAGGGCCATCATCCCTGTCAAATAATACCATGCGGGACACATTCGTTTTTTCTTCGCGCGCGCACGCCGAAATCTCCAAAAACCATGTGTATCATGTACCATATGCATCATATGCAACAGATGTTCTGTGGAAGGCTTAACAACTTCTGTGGGTTAACAAGGCTTAACAACTTCTGTGGGTGTACGAACGTAGGCTTAACAACTTCTGTGGGTGTGTACTCCACGCCAGTGTAGTAGCCACGGTCGTCCGCAGGCCACGAAGTGAAGTGTCCGAACGTCATAGGGCGGGAAGCTGGGTGTGGGTGGTGGCGAAGAGTCGTGTGGATATTTGGTAGAGCTTGCACTGCCCCCCCACAAAGTGGGGGTATTGGCTGGCGTCGCATGAAAACCCTGGCACTGGTGAGAACACTGAGCGTTCGGGTAAAGTGATTGTTGTTGTTGTTGTTGTTGTTGTTGTTGTTGTTGTTGTTGTGGTTGTTGTTGTTGTTGTTGTTGTGGTTGTTGTTGTTGTTGTTGTTGTTGTTGTTGTTGTTGTTGTGCTGGACCGTATCCTCATTCTCATCCTTCCTCTCCTTCCGTCACCTGGTCCTCCTTATCATCCGTCTTCTGGTTTCTGCAGACATGTTCTAGATGTCGTGCAGGCGAAGGGGGCCTGACCCCTGGCATTACCAGTCACGAGGCGCGCTGCCTGTCCAGCAGACGCCATCGGGGCCCCCTGGCCGTGGCGAAGCCGTGAAGCACTCGAGAGACGACCGCCAATCCAGTCGAGCATCTGATCAAGAAACCTCCGCCCCACAAACTGGGCAAGGGTTTCTTGACCAGCTTGTCGGAAAGCAAACCCAGTTTCTGGAGCACGTTCGATCCTCCAGCGTCAACGACAGAGCTTGTCCCGGATTTGTTAATGAAGAAGCTTCAGGGAAGCTGGCACATATTGCTGACATGATGGGTTTCTTAACCAGATGTTCGGCTGCAGCGCCGTGGAGTCGCGGCTCGAGAACTCTGCTCTGCTCTGCGGCGACCTGGGCCTGTCGACTTCGAGCTTTTTTTTTTGTGTTCCCAGCCATTATGTGAGGTTGGGTCCCCGTTCTGAGGAGACAGCGCCCCGCGTCCACACCTCCTCACCCCCCCTCCCCCCAGGCGGTGTTCACATGCGTCCGCGACGCAAATATCCCCCCCCCTTCGTGGCCCCATATGAACCTTTACCGAAGGCCCCAGTGGCGGTGTCCACATGCGTCCGCGCCACCCATTTCGGCACACCCTTACACGTTTCATGGCCCCATAGGGAGCTGCACCGAAGGCCCCAGTGGCGGTGCCCACATGCGTTCGCGCCACCCATCTCAGCACACCCTTCAAACGTTTAGTGGCCCCATAGGGAGCTCCACCGAAGGCCCCAGTGGTGGTGTCCACATGCGTCTGCGCCACCCATGTCGGCACACCTCTCACACTTTCCATGGCCCCCACAGGGAGCTCCACCGAAGGCCCCAGTGGCGGTGTCTACAAGCGTCCGCGCCACCCATGTCGACGTAACCTTTCGCACGCCTCGTGGCCCCATAGGCAGCTGCACCGAAGGCCCCAGTGGCGGTGTCCACATGCGTCCGCGCCACCCATTTCGGCACACCCCTCACACATTTCGTGACCCCACAAGGAAACTCCACCGCAGGTCCCAGTGGCGGTGTCCACATGCGTCCGCGCCACCCATTTCGGCACACTTCTCACACGTTTCGTGAAATGAGGAGCTCCACCGAAGGCCCCAGTGGCGGTGTCCCCATGCGCTCTCGCCACCCATGTCGGCGCACCCCTTTACACGTTTCGTGGCCCCACCAGGAGCTGCAACGAAGGCCCCAGTGGCGGTGTCTACACGCGCCCGCGCCACCCATGTCGATGCACCTTTCGCATGCTTCATGGCCCCACAGGGAGCTCCCAGTGGCGGTGTCTACATGCGTCCGCGCCACCCATTTCTGCACCCCCCCTATGGATCACCACCGAAGACAGATTTTCACAATTGGGGTGCTCACACCTGCATGTGGTTGGGAGTTTTGTCGGGCTAATTTTTCACGGGGTCGGCGCAAATATGCCAGTGTCTTGAGTCCATCGGACTGCTTGGTTCTTGGGCCGGGGGCTCCTCGTGGACACTCCCCATTTCGAGTAGGGGATCGACCGCAGCCTTGTCATACCTCGAGGCTGGTTTTCCCGTCGAGTCTACAAGACATGAGCGAAGGTTCGTGGACCTGCGACCATTCCACGTATTTGTGGGGACGACTCGACGACTGATCACTTCTGGTGCAGGTCAATTCTGCAGCCGATCTCCCGCTCGACCACCGCGGCCCTGGTCCCGCACCCTCACCAGGAGCGCTGCGGGGCCAACCGAGCAGTCGCACCCGCCCGCCGTCGGGCCCCGGGACCACCGCGGCGGCTACAGGGGCTCCTCCCCTGGACGGGTCGCGACATCCCGCGCCCCCCCCCCTCCCCTCTGCATTCGGTCGGTTGCTCTGGCGTCTCGGGCGCTTGCCTGGGCGGTTCACCGTCCAGCTGCACGCCCCACTCTGCACGGGCTTTCCCCCTCTCCTGCGGCATTTGCTCTGTGGCATAGCTCCGAGCAGCACGAGCAGGGGGGAGGGACGACGAAGTCCTGACGGAGGCCATCACGGAGGCGTCTCCTGCGCTTCTTGCGAGCACTGTGGGACTCACCTGCGCAAGGGAGACGAGGAAGGAGAACAGGAAGAGGAAGAGAAAGTCATGCAAATTTCAGCGAGCATCGCGTAATGTTAACTCACAAGCCATACAACATTGTGGAAATGATAATGGGGACGTCGAAGAGAGCAGTGGCGACGACGACGAGCATGACAACTAATCAGATGAGGGGCCCAGGGGTGAACTTACGCAAAGCGGGCACCTTTACTGTGAACGTCGCAACTATCTTTGCGGTAGCCGCCAGCTGTGCCCGTCATGAAGATTAGCTCCCTTAGCTGTGCGCTTCATCAAATCATGTTGTGTTACACCGATCGCTGACCTTCGTAGTGAGGCGGTTGCCATGACTGGGGCTGCATCGATTTCATATCGGGCTTGCTGGCGAAAGAGGGCGGGGGACGAGGGGACATTTGAGGCGGAAGAGGTTGAAGGGGCGGGCGACGACGGTGGGCAGAGCGAGACGGAAGATAAGGCAACTGATGGTGAGGAGGGGAGGAGGAGGACGAGGAACATGCTGGCGTGATGAAGTGCGACAGATGAGGTGGATGATGGCGATGAAGCCCGTGCAATGGTGCGTGGATTGTGGGGCGAAGTTTTTTGTGTCGGAGGTTCTCTAACGAAGGTGGCGTTGCCGACGCTCTGCCGTCTTCATTGTGGTGTAGTAAAGCTTCTGGACAGGGTTTCGCCCTGTCCAGCTTTATGGCGTCTTCATAAGAGTTATTATTGAACGCGCACGTCCTGGACTGAGGCGGATGCCTGGCAGACACCCGGAAAGTTTCGTCGAGGTTCAGTGTAAGTTCCATGTGTACCCATTTCGGACTCCGAGTGTAAGCTGCGCAACGTGTACATTGCAAGGAGGAGGAAGAGAAGGAAAAGGAGTTTAGGGAGAAGGATGCGGAGGAGGAGGAGGAGGAGGAGGAGGAGGAGGAGGGAGAGGAGGGAAGGAGTCGCCATGATCGACGCTCGTGGCACGAGATCCTTTCCAGATCACACGGCTGTCCTCGCCTTCCCTTCCTCGTCCTGGGGCGTCTTCCGATGACCTCGAACGAAGCCCTAAAACATCGCCTTCCTTCATCGCCGTCACCAGGGCGGACGCTCTCACAGCAGACTTGCCACGCCCGCGGCTCATGAACCATTGGGTCCTCCTGGCCAGGGCGTTCAGGAGGAGGGGGAAGGGGGAGGAGGAGGAGCAGTGGCGTTTTCCTCCCTGCCGTCTTCTCCTCCCCCGTCCCCTTCCGCCCCTCCTCTTCTTTCCTCTCCCCTTCTTGACCCGAAGGGACTCGTGATGTAAGGTAGCGAGCCTCTCTTACGGGGCCACCTCGGAGCTCGGTCCTTGAGCTGCGTGGCATGCCCCCCTTCCGGCCATAGTGAGAAGGCAGGGCTGTCGCACAACAAGCCGCAGGGGATGTTGACTGTGGAGCGCAGGTCACCTGAGTAGGTGCTCTGACGTGGTACGCCCTTAGGCGGACGTCCTTGTCCTTGTCTCCCCTTCTTTCTCGTTTTCCTCCACCCCCCCCGTCCTCCCGCCTCCCCGCTCCCTCCACGGTCGACGTGCCGACTGCCGATCTGCGCCCCTTCCCCGCGGAGCGCCGCCCCGGAGGTCGACATCTGCGAGCGCGGGCAGCAGCAAGCCCCGCCGCGAGCATAAGAGTGTGGATAGGCCAGTCTCTTCCTCCGCGTCCTCCTGCCCCTCCGACCTCGTGGTGTCTAAGGCCTTGCTTACCCCTCGGTCCAACGACGGCTGTCATGAGCCCGCGTGCATCCCAGGAGCGGAAGTCACGGTGCCTCCCACCCCGACAGGGGGGAACATTCCGCGGGTTTTCGCCGATCGTGGGAGTTCTTGGGCACGTGGTGTGTTCGAGGCTGTGGGATCGACGCGCGTGTGCTTGAACACGTGGGTCTCTCTTGGGGGGGGGGGGGCGGGGCAATTTCGAGCCAGTTTGTCGCCTTCTCCCTTCGGGCCTTGTCGGGGTGCTCGTGGGGTCCTGCCGGGGCCCGCGTGGGCCTGGGCCGCAGTCGCGCAAGCAAGCATGACACCGACCAGTACACACTTGCAAGCTGGCAGTAGCGAACACAAGGTGACTGGGCTCGGCCATGCCAGCCAATAAAGCATGCATCGGAACTAAAGTAGCCAGCGACGCCTTTCCAACGCCAGCCGGGAATACCAGTGGTAGATCGGCAGGTGAGCAGTCAACAGCCAGCGCCAAGACACTTGCAACCAGGCAACCAGTAGAAAGCATAGACGCATCACCGCACTCGCAATCGATAAGAAATCAACGCGCCGTAACAAGCAACCCGTAGCAGACATGCCCCGAGACATTGCACGCAAGCAACACCAAGGACGTGTGAACACACACTCGCAAGCATTACCACTTACACGTCATCAAACACGCAGCACCAGCCTATCAAACAATTGCAACCGGTAGGAGCACAGTTCAACAGCACGCAACGGCGTATAAGTTCAGAGTTGGGAAGGGAATTTTCGAGGATTGCAGGGAAACGTTAGCCACCGACCAAAATGTCAATCACGGACGGAAGATGTAGCACACAAACAGATGCAATCATCCATTCGCAAACCAGGATGTTAGTAGCGATGCTGCGAGTAAACATTGCGGTACAACGTGTATCCATATATTTCGCCATACGAACAAACACGTCACGCATCATAACTAAAGCAGTAAGCAACGCATTGATATGTTCCACCAACACCGCTCAGGAACAACAGTGCTATATTGGCAAGTACGCAATCGGCAACAAGCGCGCAGACATGTTCATACAAGCAACCAGCAGCACTTGTACAAGCTAT